ATCTACCCCCATCTACTAGGTCTTGACGTGGGAACTCTGTTTAATCTTCATGTCGACATCCAGAATGGTGTTGTGACTACTAATGGACCATCTTTGTATAATTGTAAATTTCAGGCGAATCATTTGAGACCAGAAACAAATCAAACCCTCGACAAGATATTACATAAATATACAACTATTTTTAGTGAAACTTCTTTTGATGTAGGAAAAATCAAAATAGCAAAACACAACATCCATACCGTTCCTCGTCCGCCTATCCAACTTCGACCATATCGAAGATCAGCCTCAAAGTATGATGAGATTAAACGACAGGTTGAAGATTTAAAGAAAAAAGGACTAGTTCGAGACAGTCGAAGCCCTTGGGCCTTCCCAGTCACACTCGTACCAAAGTCGGATGGCCAAAAGAGGCTTTGCGTTGATTACCGCCGCCTCAATGCCCTTACCATTGACGACAAGATGCCTCTGCCTAACATTCAAGAAGTCATCGATCGTCTTCAGGGAGCGAAATACTTCACTTCGTTGGACATCGCTTCAGGTTATTGGCATGTCGAAATGGTTCCAGACAGCACAGAGAAGACAGCATTCATCACCAACGAAGGGCTTTATGAGTGGTTAGTGATGCCTTTTGGGTTGAAAAACGCCCCTGCTACTTTTCAGCGAATCATACAACAAACTCTTGGTCCATTAATGTACAAGGGGTGCATCAACTATCTTGATGATTTCATCATATATTCTAAAACTTTAGAAGAACATTTTGACCTTCTATCAGAAGTGCTAGAAAAATTATATTTCCAAAACCTCAAGCTCAAGCTTCAAAAATGTTATTTTATCAGAGAATAAATAGAATATCTTGGATATATCACCAAATACAATCAGGTTACACCTTCACCTCGGAAAATAGAAGCCGTTAAAAGTTTCCCAATCCCCAAAACAGTCAAAAACATACAGCAATTTCACGGATTGTGTAGTTATTATCGAAGATTTATAAAAAAAATTCAGTTCAATAACACAACCTCTAACAGATTTATTGAAGAAAGATAAAATTTTCCACTGGTCTTAAATTATCCAAAAATCATTTGAAACTTTGAAGAATTTAATCACACAACCTCCAGTTCTGGCAATGTACGATCCCACCTTACCATGTAAGCTCTACACTGATGCCTCAGAGCAAGGACTTGGTGCAATTCTTGCACAGAAACATCTAGATGGCAGAAAACGGGTTGTTTACTATTTCTCAAAACGGCTCAACCCAACACAGTCACGCTACACCGCTACAGAGTTGGAATGTTTTGCCATAATCGAAGCAGTCAGACATTTCAACAACTACCTAGACAAGCCATTTAAATTGTCACTGATCATAGTGCTTTAAAATGGCTATTGAATCATAAAAACCCTGGGGGAAACCTTTTCCGATGGTCAATGGAGCTATTCGTTCACCATTATCCACAGAGCAGGAGGACAGCAAACACATGTTGACGCACTTTCCAGGAATCCAATGTGCACATTCATAACCGAAGATAAGATGAAGATTGCTCAACAACAGGCAGACTTGCGATTTGTAAAGAACCCTCAAATTAAAAGTGGCATTGTCATATACGAATTCGAGGCCATTCCAAAGCAGTTTTACCTGATTCCCTACAGGCAAAATGTCTTCACCACTTTCATGATGACTTTAGACATCCTGGAAAAAACAAAACATTGAAGCTGATTTCCACATATTACTGGTAGTAAAACGAAAATTGCAAATATACCGCGAATGTTTCTTTTATAAAAATCGAAATCTATTTAAGAGAGAAATAGCGACCATTTCTAACTCTTTTGAATGAAGTATGAGAGGGTGAAAAATATGAAGAGTAATGGCGAACGGAAAAATAAAAGTGTCCAGGGGCGGGAATCCGTTCGCCATTACTCTTCATATTTTTCACCCTCTCATACTTCATTCAAAAGAGTTAGAAATGGTCGCTATTTCTCTCTTAAATAGATTTCGATTTTTATAAAAGAAACATTCGCGGTATATTTGCAATTTTCGTTTTACAATCATCAGCCGCGTTATATTGTATTTTAAAAATTACATATTACTGGTGGCCACAAATGCTCAGGACCATAAAAGAGTATGTTTCCTCATGTAAAGTTTGCCAGCTCAGCAAACAGTCAAACCAACCGACAATAGGACACTACCAAATACCAGACTGCGAACTCCAACCAATTGACCTCGTTGGACTGGATACAATTGTTTTGGGAAATTAAGCCAAGAACACCAGACATAAGTATCTCCAGGTCATCATAGATCACCATAGTCGTTACATTTGGGCATGTCCCACAGCATCCAACAATTCAGCTGCCATCCTCAACATCCTTAGACAGTTGTTATCTTCTGGAGTAACAATCAAACGTATTCTGACAGACAATGGTTCTAATTTCACAAGTAGAAGCTTCAAATATATTCTGTCGGAAAATTAAATTGCCCATTTCCTTGCTACTCCATACCATCCTCAGAAATGTGGAATGGTAGAAAAGGCAAACCATACCCTTCTCACAAGATTGAGAGCTGCAATTTCGGAGAAACCGAAACAAAAATGGTCGACACTTGTACCATTTATTGTCGAGACATACAACCAGACCCCACATGAAGTAACAATATTCAGCCTAAAGTTTTTCTGTATGGGATTGATGAATCACTATCTTTTGCTGACCATCCCATCACTTTAGACGAAGCAAGAGGTCTGGCTCGCGAGAATACCAGAAAAGATCAAATAAAGAGAAAGAATCTTCATGATGATAAACATCCAGATGTGGAATTCTCTGAGGGAGATCAAGTTTTGAGGACTGTTGCAAAGCACCATCCATGCATGTCTAAACTCCGCCCAAGATAACAAGGCCCTTTCTTCGTTAAGAAGAAGATCAGCAATCTAGTCTATGACATCCAAGACACCGAAGGACGAGTGTACCGGGCTCATGCTTCTCAACTTCGATCTTTCAAGGACAGGGAGCCGGGGGGTGTGACGGTGTTTTGACCCACCGCCAATTTTGAACAGCCCTTTCAACCGCCACCACCTCGGCCGGCTGGGTAAGCTAAGTCGGCGCATGCGCGGCGGCGGTGGTGACATGGTAAGCACGTGGGAGGATATCATTGTTTTGACGGCCACCACGAGCCAACGTCCATTTTTCATCCATCCATTTTCATCAAACCTTTTTAAACTCTTCTTTACTAGATTTTAATTTGTAACAAAAATAATTAACATTGATATTTATTTTTATATTTTATTTGTAATAATTAAAATACCTTGGAATGAATAATTGAATCATTTCTTCAAAACCAGACGAACCACCACAATTTAAAAAATGAAAGTATTTAAGCACGAGTGTTTCCCCCCACACAAATTCAGTGGTGAACTCTCACAGCGGTTTCGCCAATTTAATATACCAGACCGTTTATTAGAGCTCTAATACTGTAATGGACGATTCTGATAATATACGCTGCACTAAAATGTGGAATCTCAGAAATGGTATTCAGGCAAACTATAGATATAAACTTTTAGGATAATAGAATTGCATATAAATATTTGCATCGAAGAATGTTCTTCCCAAACAATATGGACAAAGCCAGTTAGGCATGATTTTATATAAAGCAATAAAGCTCCATCTATATTTTTTTACACAAATCAAACTCCTACTGTCCTTACTTTGATGAAAAAATATTGAGGGGGGTTAGCTCATCAGTGGTGGAAGTAAGCCACCGAAAGGTCGGGCCCCAATGAAGAAGTTGAGTATTGGGGAATTTGACGTTATATTATTTCTGCGAATACTTTCATTCAATATTGAAAATTTATTTGTTGAGGGTTTGAGTATCATATAGTATAACTCACATTTAATATGAACCAGCTTATGGGTTACCTCTACAGTTGAATGATCAGAAGTGATACATAGTGGTACACAATGTCGACATTTTGACAACCAGATTCCGGGATCAAGTCTTAAATTTTGAGGTATTTTCTTTACAAAATGAAATAGTGAATAAGTGGTTTCCTACATACACAAATTCCAACTGTGAGTGCATAATTCTACCAGTTTATTCTTGTTTAAATAGGATGGTATATTGATATATATGTGTCACAAATTAAATATTATCTATATATACTCACACACAACATGGAGAGAGAGGGAAAGAAAAAAAAACTTAAGGAAATGGAAAGTCTTTGAAGTCGCCGGGCATCTATTTATTTTTAAGGAGACATAGGCACTTTTTTCACACTTGGTTATCTCGTGTGTCTTCCAATAAAGAGGTCAATGTGCTTCAAATTTCTTTTACTGTTATTGTCTGAATCCCGTTATACATATTACAATGTACACATTCATTGATTTTTATCCATGATTTATGTACCTTAGTATTGAAATTGATAACTCACAACTGGGAAAAATTAGCGTTGAATAATAAACAAGTAATACTTAAAGCCACCCCGCATAAGTTTCTTTTTTTTTGTGTGAAAATCAACATTAATATCAAAGAGAAATATGTACTATTTCTAACTTTTTGGATGACGTATGAAAAGGTTGAATATATGAAGAGTAATGGTCTATATATGATTGGATGACGTATGAAAGGGTGAAAATGTGAAGAGTAATGGCGAACGGAAAAATAAAAGTGTCCAGGGGCGGGAATCGAACCCACAACCTTCTGCTTACCGGGCAGGTGCCATGTCCACTAGGCTACCCTGGACGTATTTTTCCGTTCGTAACTAATACTTGAAGTAACTTTTTTTTAATACAATATAAAGGACTGCGGTGTATGATTATAAAGTAATACTTAAAGCCTCCCCGCATAAGTTTCTTTTTTTTTTGTGAAAATCAATATTAATTTCAAAGAGAAATATGTACTATTTCTAACTTTTTGGATGACGTATGAAAAGGTTGAATATATGAAGAGTAATGGTCTATATATGATTGGATGACGTCTGAAAGGGTGAAAATGTGAAGAGTAATGGCGAACGGAAAAATAAAAGTGTTCAGGGCGGGAATCGAACCCACAACCTTCTGCTTACCGGGCAGGTGCCATGTCCACTAGGCTACCCTGGACGTATTTTTCCGTTCGTAACTAATACTTAAAGTAACTTTTTTTAATACAATATAAAGGACTGCGGTGTATGATTATAAAGTAATACTTAAAGCCTCCCCGCATAAGTTTCCTTTTTTTTTGTGAAAATCAATATTAATTTCAAAGAGAAATATGTACTATTTCTAACTTTTTGGATGACGTATGAAAAGGTTGAATATATGAAGAGTAATGGTCTATATATGATTGGATGACGTATGAAAGGGTGAAAATGTGAAGAGTAATGGCGAACGCAAAAATAAAAGTGTCCAGGGGCGGGAATCGAACCCACAACTTTCTGCTTACCGGGCAGGTGCCATGTCCACTAGGCTATTTTATTTTTCCGTTCGCCATTACTCTTCACACTTTCACCCTTTCATACGTCATCCAATCATATATAGACCATTACTCTTCATATATTCAACCTTTTCATACGTCATCCAAAAAGTTAGAAATAGTACATATTTCTCTTTGAAATTAATATTGATTTTCACAAAAAAAAAAGAAACTTATGCGGGGAGGCTTTAAGTATTACTTTATAATCATACACCGCAGTACTTTATATTGTATTAAAAAAGTTACTTTAAGTATTAGTTACGAACGGAAAAATACGTCCAGGGTAGCCTAGTGGACATGGCACCTTCCCGGTAAGCAGAAGGTTGTGGGTTCGATTCCCGCCCCAGGACACTTTTATTTTTCCGTTCGCCATTACTCTTCACATTTTCACCCTTTCAGACGTCATCCAATCATATATAGACCATTACTCTTCATATATTCAACCTTTTCATACGTCATCCAAAAAGTTAGAAATAGTACATATTTCTCTTTGAAATTAATATTGATTTTCACAAAAAAAAAGAAACTTATGCGGGGAGACTTTAAGTATTACTTTATAATCATACACCGCAGTCCTTTATATTGTATTAAAAAAGTTACTTTAAGTATTAGTTACGAACGGAAAAATACGTCCAGGGTAGCCTAGTGGACATGGCACCTGCCCGGTTAGTAGAAGGTTGTGGGTTCGATTCCCGCCCCTGGACACTTTTATTTTTCCGTTCGCCATTACTCTTCACATTTTCACCCTTTCATACGTCATCCAATCATATATAGACCATTAATCTTCATATATTCAACCTTTTCATACGTCATCCAAAAAGTTAGAAATAGTACATATTTCTCTTTGAAATTAATATTGATTTTCACAAAAAAAAAAAGAAACTTATGCGGGGAGGCTTTAAGTATTACTTTATAATCATACACCGCAGTCCTTTATATTGTATTAAAAAAAGTTTCTTTAAGTATTAGTTACGAACGGAAAAATACGTCCAAGGTAGCCTAGTGGACATGGCACCTGCCCGGTAAGCAGAAGGTTGTGGGTTCGATTCCCGCCCCTGGACACTTTTATTTTTCCTTTCGCCATTACTCTTCACATTTTCACCCTTTCATACGTCATCCAATCATATATAGACCATTACTCTTCATATATTCAACCTTTTCATACGTCATCCAAAAAGTTAGAAATAGTACATATTTCTCTTTGAAATTAATATTGATTTTCACAAAAAAAAAAAAGAAACTTATGCGGGGAGGCTTTAAGTATTACTTTATAATCATACACCGCAGTCCTTTATATTGTAATAATAAACAAGTTCAATCTGATACCCTGGTGTCCCTGAGTCCATGTAGCTGCACGATAAGGAGATTCCTTTCATTACATCACATTGGTCTTTTCTACTTTCTTTTAGCATATATACACTAATGGATAAAACTCAAGGAAGGTGCACCTTTTAGCATGTATGTCGGGATTCAGAATATACCTCTGAAAGATATTTGAAACACAGTGACCTTTATTGAAGACACACTAGATAATCAAATGTAAACAAAATTGCTTCCGTCTCCTTAAAAAAAAGGATATGCGGCGACATCAAACTGCATCGTTTCATTTTATTAAGTCTTGTCTATCAGTGTATATTTATTTGTTATACATATCCTCAATATATTTTTAATATTATACACATACCAAAATATTTTATTTTAAAAGCTTTTATTTAACATGTCTGTCTGTCTGTCGCCAAATCTTGTAATCAAATTTTAATATACTTATATAGCACCTAGAAATATGATATTTGGTACACATGTTCAAACCTGATGACAATACTAGCTGACAAATTTTCAGACTTCTGGGTTGTCAGGTTGGCCAAGAACGGACAAATTTCAAAATTTCCTTTCAAATTTTGTATATTTAATTTTATTTATTTTGTTTTGCCAATATCTCGCGAACCGTTCGTTTTTAGCGATTTTCCTTCGATTTCTCCTTCTTGTTTAAACTTACTGGTATACTTTTTACGCTCTTTCTGATGGTACCATTTTCATTGAAATTGATCAACTTTTATTTAAAAGCTTTTATTTAACTTGCCTCCATGTTTGTCTGGATGTCTGTCGCCAAATCTTGTAATCAATTTTTATTAACATACTTATAGGGCACCTAGAAATATGAAATTAGGTACACATGTTCAAACCTGATGACAATGCTAGCTGACCAATTTTCAGACTTCTGGGTTGTCAGGTTGGCCAACAACGGACAAATTTCCAAATTTCCTTTCAAATTTTGTATATTTAATTTTAATATGCTTCCAGACCATATAGAATAATGAAACTCACAATACTCGCTCAGTCCAATTAATAATTGACATATAGACAGAGATACATTCATTTTTATATATAGATATTAGCAGTAATTAAACGTATCAGTAAGAAAATGTTGATTTTAATATATGTAAATATAGTCTCTTAAGAAAGACCACCTAAAAACATGACTCAACTTGTTTCTCCTGTAGGTGGTCTCTCATTGGAGATTCTAATTGATATTAAAGAATCTCTAATAGACCTTTAATAAGAGACTGCCTCTTGGAGAGTCGGGTTAAGCTACGATATTAGGCATCCTCTCAATGGAAGCTCTACTGTATCTACTGTTTCACACTGTTTGGCTAAATAAATTCCATTTTAACCATTTTGAATGTGTATCAATCCAGTCTATTTTTTGATATTTTATAGGCAAAATGACTTCATTTCAATTCATAGGGAATTTTCAACATTTTTTTTTTGTCTTCATTCAGCTTACTTTCTATTATATTTTAAGCCATTGCTCCATTATACATATTTAATACCGTATACAGTGTATTACTTTCAAAAATGTCATTAATAATTTGAATACAGACACATTGAAAACCTTCTTAATAATGATGATAATTTTTAATAAAATTTAATGGAATTTGGGAAATAGAACGAAACGAAAAAAGGAAATCTGACAAAAAATAGCTTTATAACTTTTCCCAAAGTTCTAAATGGTCAAATAGCAAGTGGCTATATAAATAAAGTTATACACAAAGATAAAATATAGATTTTAAAATATATTTTTTTACTTAATTTTAATGCATTGTAAATTCTTCATCTTCAGGGTCATTGGTAGTTATGTGGAAAATTTGGTGACATTTGGTTAAGTAGTTTCTGAGTTTATCGATAAACAGACAGACAAATTTTGATTTATATATATATATAGAGAACACAGAGATAATAAATCAGAGTGCTGAAAATATAACAGATTAATTAATATTTATCCTTGTTTTTTCCAAAAAAAAATGTTTTTCAAACTAATAATTAGATAGAAACCTTTCTGGTAGTATATTAAACAATTTCTCAAAGTTAAATTGCGATGAAATGAGTAGTTTGGTCCGGCATAAAGAAGAGGCATATAATCATTTTTTTCTATATGCATGATAATATTTTTAGAGCAGATTGTTGAATTATAACAGATAAATTAGAATATTTATCTTGATTATTTTAAGGCGAAAAGTTATTTCAAAAATTTTATTTGCTAGAAACCTTCCCAGTACTATACTAAATAACTTCCCAAAGTTTCATGGCGTTCCAATGAGTGGTTTGGTCAGGCATAAAGGACAGACACACCACACACACACACATACATTCATTTTTATATATATAGATGATCTGACTTTGTGTCTTCTACTCGAATGAATGTTTTCTGTTAGAATTTTGTTTCTGCATACTAAAAGTGAACTCGCTTCACCCGTGGTCTCTGCTCTTTTGGAATTTTTTCCCTATATAATTTTGTACCTGATTATCAAACATGATACAGCAATATTTTCATTATCATTTTCTGACTAAAAAACAACTATTTTTTTCCCAGAACCTGTCAATTTCAATTTTTCTTGGCTAAAAATGCGACAATGCTGGAGGTTGCGAAAGGATTTTTTTCAATAAATGTTCAAGACATGGAAGGATTTAGAAATCCAAATATTCAGATTCCTATCTAAAACGTCCTTGGAATTACAAGCAAATAAATGAGAAAAGCCAACAAATATATTAATTTTATCTGTTATAATTTAGTCATCTTATTCCAATATCATCACGCATATATTTATATTCATTATATATATAGGTGTGTGTGTTACACTTTTAACTATTTAATCAATTGTTTAATTATAATTCAAATTTTATATGTACCAATTATCCCCTAACAATAATCCACTGGGTGTCTCTAACTTTGTAATATAATTCAATAAATTTAGGGTTCCCAAAAGCGAAGAGACGCAGTTCTGTTAGCAACGGATTTTGCTTACGTCACTTCCGACTTCCCACGAGGAATTGACCAATCTGCTGCGAGCAGGCTTGCAGCTATTTAAGGCCAACGTCGTTTCAGTGATAATGCTTTTTTTTTTGGACTGGCATTTATACGACTAAAAATAGCGTGAATAATTAATTATAAAAACACTTTTAAAAAAAAGCTTTTATTTAAAATGCACTAAAAATAACAGAATAAATATTTTTGAAGTATTGCTTTTTTTTCTGAAGGTACCATTTAACAAATAAAATAATAGACTTAGAAATAAAAGCGGTGGGGTACAATAATAATAAATATGAGATCAATGTGATTTTATATGAAGCAAATGATTAGCAAGATTATG